GGATGTAACATCCATCGACTTGTGTTTCCTAGAACCAGTGACCTGTTCTTGGGTATATGCTCAGGTAGGTCATTCCTTGGTATGCAATGGGTCACCAGGTCAGCTGAGGAGCCATGCCTGGTCAGGAGAGGGAGGTGGCCAGGATCTGCCAAGCATCCAGGTCTCTGAGTCCCCATCACTGAGCTCTTGCCTGCTGTCCTATACCAGAGTCCTTATGGCTGGATCTCCAAACCATTACCAACATAAGGAAGACCCTTCAGATCAAAGCACTGTAGAGGAGATTTCTGAGGCTGGAATGCTGGGTCCTCCTCAGTGTCCTGAGGGAGGCTCCTCTCCTGCTACCACCATGGCTACCACTCCACTGAACCAATTCCATGGAAGTTTCCATGGGGGCAGCAAACAAGGGGAGAGTTCATTCTCCTTGTTGTCCCTGCCAGACACTGAGTTCTTGATTACGGATGCCATAGGTAGTAAGGTAGCTGAATTGGTAGAGTTCCCGGCTCTTGAATATCTAATGAAGGAGCTGACCACCAAGGCAGAACTGCAATCATTAAAAAGTATGAGCTTCAGGGAAATCTTCCAGTGCATACAACCAGTCTTTGGCACTTATGTGAAGGAAGTGGACCCTCCCTGCCACTCACATTTCTTGTCCCTACTCTGGGTCTCATCTTTCATGGGATGGTGGGTGATGATATCCAACCTGGGGCTCATCTTCATTCCGGGCAAATGTGCCAGTGAGGAAGTCACCTGGTAAGTGCAGAGTGGGACAGGGTTTCTCCTGGGAGGGAGCATTTCATTTATGGGGCGCCTAGGAAATTCACCACTGACGATTTGGTTCAGGAACAGTAACTATAGTAACAACAACTGCCCAAGACTGATCCTCCTCTCAAGTTCTTGTGGGGTCCAAGGGCCCACGCTGAAACCAACAAGAAGAAAGTTCTAGAATTTTTGGCCAAGGTCAAAGATATCAACCTCAATGCTTTTCCTATCTACCATGAGGAGGGTTTAGCAGATGAAGAAAAGCTCAACTCCCAGGGCCAGTGAGAAGTGATGCTTAGGGCCAGGATGAGGGCTAGGGCACATTCCAGGGCCACATCCAGCAGCTTCTCCTATTTCCTGTAATTTCTGAGCAGATTCTTCACTCTGTGTTGGCAAAGAGCATTCAGTTGTCCAAATAGTGCAAATGCAGAATGGAGATTGGGTAAATTCAGTAGATAACATCTTTGCATTTCTGTTCCATATGGGTAACTTGAAGAATTTCTTTTTGTTATTTTTTACATGCTCTTCCTTTCAATAGAAGAGTTAATTAACTTCAAGTTGTAAAAAAAAATTTTTTTATATAATGTCTCATTATGTAGTTCAGGCTGGCCTTGAACTTGCTGAGATCCTTCTCCATCAGCCTCTGGAGTGCTAGGATTACAGGTGTGCCCAGCCCAAGTTGTAAATTTTTTTTTTCTCTTTGAGTTTATTGGTACATTTTAGGTACACAGTACAGTTACATTTATCATTGGGATCTTGTACCTTTACATGACAGGTCTTGGTTCTCATTTTTTCCCCTTGTCTCTGCCCTCCCTTCCTTGCCATCCTCCCTTCCCTATTTACAAATACTTTATTTCCATTTTTTCATTTTCTTATATCTTCCCCCTTATTCCAAGTTGTAAATTTTTAATACTTGTTTCTCTTTTTCCCCTTGTCTCTGCCCTCCCTTCCTTGCCATCCTCCCTTCCCTATTTACAAATACTTTATTTCCATTTTTTCATTTTCTTATATCTTCCCCCTTATTCCAAGTTGTAAATTTTTAATGGTAATGGTCACAAACATACTTATACATTTTAAGAATTTCCCTGTTTTGTAAAACCAATCATAAAGTCTTCTATTCTATTTTGTGATCTAGAACAAGATAACTTGTCACTGGTATAAAAGCTTTCTTGGAAATGTGAAAAAAAAAACAAGTTTATATAGTCAAGAATATTGTTCTAGAATATTTACAAATTATATTACAAAAAGTTCTTTACATTACAAAAAGTTTGCTTTTTATTGTTGAAAATTTGAAATAGAGGGAAGAAAAGCAAAGCTACCTATAATCCTGTAATTCAGACAAAGCCACAGCTTTTATGTCTCCTCTCTGAACATGAATCTGCCTGCCATGCACTACATGTGTGGGTGACCCACTGGTGACTCAAGGCACTCAGGTTGTCCAACAGTGTCATGCTTAGCCCTCGACATGGCTGTGTCTCCTGTTGGTTCTGTACTGGACTGCTCAGCAGCCTGTCCTCAAGAGAACGGGATGAACTATAAACAGATGTGAACGTTTATGCATCCAAGTAGACTGAAACCCAGAGAAGGCATGCTTTACACATAAATGAGGTTGGAGTCAACCCTGATGGAGTTTAGCAATGGTTAAGCACAGAGAACAGCTTTCTGGCCCCTGCCTAAGCTGCACCTCAGGCCCAGGGCCGGACACCCCAAGCTCACAGTGGCTTCCCTCCTTCCTTCCTCCTTTCCTCCCTTCTAGCCAGGAGGGTGGAACACTGGCTGAATGGGGGAATAAGGGAAAGGAGAAGCTGTACTAGACTCAGGAGGGGCCAACACAGAAGCTGGATAGAAACAAGAGGGGTGAGTGGCCCCCAAGACCAGTCTGATTGTAAGAACAGATGCCTCTGCTTCTACCAACCTTGTCTTCAGAGATAGTACATTGCCACTACCATCACAGTCAATTTTAAAGCATTTTCCTCACCTGGAAGAAGCCCCAGACTCATGAACAGTCACTGCGTGTCTCTAACCCCCCTCTCTAGCAGCCACTACCCTAGGCTCTGCCTCGCAGGGTTCACCAGTTCTGGACTTTCATACAAATGGAGTCACATAAGATGTGCAGCTCTGTGTATGGCCTTTCTTCACTCAACACCCTGTTTTCAAGGTCTATCCATGCTATTGAGAGTACCACAGACTACACTATTTTCCACCTCCAGTTGGGGGGCATTTAGTTATCCCCACTTGGGGCTGCTGGGAATTGACCAGTGCTCCGGTGAACATTCCTGCACACTTTTTGTGTAGATATGTATATCATTTCTCTTAGTTATCTATGAGGGAGATAGCTGAGTTATGTGGTAATCTGTGCTTAACCCTTTGAGGAATTGCAAGAAAAGTCTGCTTTTGGCGGGGAGGGCATTCAGATGATCCTGAATTAGAAAATGTCTAATGTAATCTGTTTCTATGAGACAACTTTAAGTGATTATTTCATCAAAAGTTGCGTATAGACGGTCCAAAGTTGCTGCATTTCTTACATTTTTTCATCAACAAAGATTCTGTAAAATAATATTGCCATGAATATCTTGGAATATTGGGTTATGATAATTGTAGGAACATTATTGTTCAATAAAAAAGTTTAAACAGTATGGCATGAATTATGTCACTATTGGTGACACTTGACTAAAAACCCAAGTCCCTAAAATAAACTAGAATGCCCTGGGAGTACTTCTTATATACATAAGCATTACAAGAACAACTTGTTTAAAAAGCCAAATTCTAAGCTCTGCTCCTAAGAGACTATGACTCACTATAGTGCCTGTGTTTATAAGGACATCCCCAAATGCACACAGGTGAGTGATATGGCTCTATGCTGGCAGAGTGGTTGGTGTTTGCATTTTCTCACCACTGATTGTGCTAATGACATTGAAAAGACTTCTCCCTTCCATCCTTCCTATGGAAATAGTCATCCATCCTTTAATCCTTGGGTCTCACCTTCTAACTCCTTCTGGGACCACTTCACTTGGAAGAGTTCTTTCCTTTGTATACCTAAGATTTTTAGTCTGTTCGTATTTGATCCATGAATTTATTGCCCTATATTATTAGTTATATGTGGCTCTAAATATATATCTTATTTTCCCAGGGGGACAGCAAGTGACTTGAAGGCACAGAATGCCATACTCCTTGTATGGCTCTCCTTACTGTTGCCAAGGGCATTGTGTTATAACGACCTAAATGACTAAGTGCTGGCTTCAACTGACATCTTTAGCCTTACATAGCCCCAGAGTCTTAACCACAAGCACTTCTGCTCTTGCCAAGTGAGCCCCACCTAGCGGGAAGGGCCCCACCCCACTGGTTCCTCCTAAGATGGGCTAGGTGAACCCCATCTGGTTTGCTACCTGTCTGGCTTTCCCTCTCTGCCAGCCCCAGAACCACTCAGACATGTTAGCTACATTGTCTTCAGAAATCAGGGCCACCTCACCCTCTTGTTCCTACAGAGCTGCCTCCTGCAACTCCTGCTCCTGAATGCAACCCCTTGTGACCCATGGTGCTGTCTGTGGGGGCAGGGCAGCATATGAAGCAGGCGTGTGCACTCGGCATCTTGTCCTAAGCAGGCAGGATTCCCTCCTTGCCCAACAGATAGGACAGGGCTGATCAGAGCAGAGTAGGTACTGGAGTCCAGTGCCGCCATGGGCCTGATGGCTGTGTGCTTAGATGGCTTTAAGCAATGTCTTTAATTTGACCCTGTGTTTACTGCTTACACCTCATGGTGCGTGGGAATGCTAGGAGACTGGAGCCCAGCTGCTGAACTGAATTTCTAACTCCCAGTCATGGGGACAACAAAGGAAAGTGCCACAGTTGTGAGTCACATCCTTTGTGAAACTGAGCAACCCAGTTGAACCAATGAAATCAGGCTGACTCCCCACACAGCCATAACAACCTGCTCCCCCGTTGCTGTTCTTTTCCCCAAGTGGCTCTCCATAGCAGAACATATGCAGGAGACCAGTATTTATGCAATATGGCTCCTTACTGAAAACTGTGCAGATTCTGCAGGGATATTTTAAATATCCAGGGAAATGTTTACACCATTTACTATCAATCAGAGAGTAATATGCCTGGTACATTCCTTCAGAGATAGCTTCAGAAATCATGAATACCAATGTATCAGCGACCCCTCACGGTCCCTCAAATAATGGGGTAGAGACTGCAACAATGTGTTTCAAAAGCAGCCAACTCCTTCATAAGGCCCTTACCTTTCAAGGTGGCTTTCTTAAGGACCTTCATGGCATAAAGCTGGCCAGCATCAGACCCTGTGACCTTCCTCACCAGGAACACCTAAGAAGCAGAAAACATTTGAAACTGATGAGATTTCAAACTCATTGTTCCTATTGACTAACATGGGGACACATAAAGGTTTAGAAAAATTCCAATAACATAAATGCCATAGGAAATCCCAAACTCTCTTCAGCATCTAGGGTACTAGGAAAAGCTTCCTCTGATTTTTGGTAGCTTCTTGAATACTGTCATTTTTGTAGGAAGCACTGACTGTTTTTGGTACCATCAACTTTCTATTTCATGCCAGTTGTATTGCCCTTTCCCTTTTTGAAACTTTAGAAGAACAAAATATTTAGAAGTTTTTAAGGAGATAATTTATTTTGTTTTAAATATCCCTCTGTAAATCTTGCACTGAGGAAGGCACTTCAGTTTAGTAGACCACACAGAACAGGCTATACTCAAATGTCAAGATATACTAGTTTCCCCTTATTTGAACTTTCTTTAGCCAAATTTTAGCTGGGGGTAGCATAAGTTTACAGACAGAGTTAGTTTCTGAGAGGCTCTTAAAATACTCATGTGGTCCTGCCACCTGCTTTGCAAGCACAAGGTCCCAAGTTTGATCCCCAGTATGAAAAAACAAACAAACAAACAAACAAACAAAAAACTCATGTGGCTATTTGATGCCACCTTCAAAAAACAGTATTTTATCTGTAAAACCAAAAAGTAAGACAGGCTGAGTTTAAAGTTATTTTACTGATTTCTGAACACAATAAGGAAAGAAAAAAAATCTAGAATATCCTCTATGGAAAAAACAAAAACAAAAACAAAAAAACCTTCTTCCATGCAAATGAAGAAAATATTGACTTTCTTAAAAGTATTTGCCAATATTAGCAAAATGCTGCTCACCTGACAGGAGTCTGGTGAAGCAGTGGGTGGAAGTGGCTGTCTATGGGGTGTGACTTGGAGGGTAACACTATATTTCTCTTTCCATGAGCATACACTTTATCAAGCCTCAAAAGCCAGAGCACTGGCCTCCCTCCCTCCTAGTTGGGGAACTCTAGCTCCATGCAGACTTTGAGTCCCCAGCTGGTCGTGTACGCAGAGCCTTTGTAAGCCCTGCACTTGGGGGGTGGGTGGCAATCTCTTCTACCACAGGCAGAGAGGTGCGGTCCATAAGGCCAGCTCCACTGGGCTGGGGGGGAGAATTTACAGGGCACAGGGTGACACCAAGACAAACCGAAGCAGGGAGCGAGGAGACACATGGCCTAGCACAGGAGCACGCATTCATGGGGCTCGAACATCGGTTCCACGTCTACACCAGGCACCACAGAAGCCATTCAGCTGCCTCCTGACCCTGGTGCTGCCCCTGCCTGTTCCTAAAATGCCAAGCAGAGACAATAGAAAAGCAGAAACAGGTCCCCCCACCCCCATCTCTCTCCCTGTCCCTCTCCCTCTCCCTGGCCCCCCATTTTGCTAAGTTGCCCAGGTAAGGCTGGAACTTGTCATCCTCCTGCTTCAGCCTCTCAAAGTGCTAGGATTTATAGTGCTGTGTCATAGTGCCCGGCTTCTTTAGGGATTTTGGGCATGCCGCATCTGAGAATTATCTTTTCTGGAGATGTGTGGAGTGTCTGTGTATACATGTGTGCACATGTCCATGGATGGATAAACGGGCATGAGGTGCAGATGTGGGGGACAGCCCGTGCTCACCCTCATGTATACTGACTGTGCATAGGATATGAGCCACCAAATCCTTCTGCAGGACCCAGTGACTGTTGCCCCCCACAGTCTTGCTATAGCCCAGGAAGTTACTGCAGATAGGACCTATCTTGGAAAATGTCCTGTTAGGCCAAGACCACTCCTTTGGTGTGTGGGGATGAGCTTCTTGACAGACAGACCGAGACGTGACAGCAGTGGTCAGAAGGAGGCAATTTTGCAAGAGAGAAAAACATTAGTGCTTAACTCCGGAGTGTCTCTGTCCCATGAATCAGGGCAAAGCTGAGGGCTATGCACAGTTTCAGTTTCCATCTGATACCATAATTCCATTCACTCCTTCAGCCATGTATGGAGCCTCACGTAATCACTTCAACTTGGTTTTTAGTGTTGTGGCATCCCTGACCCTCACCCCTGATGTTACTGGGTTATGGGGAAGCAGGAAGCAAGGCAAGGAGCCCAGGAGGACAGCGAGACTGACTGAGGGAGTCCTGGTTTCCCGGGGGCTGAGGAGCAGCCACTGATCACTCATGCCCTGACCTGGTAGGGGGCAGCCCTATGGGCTGAGCACGAAGAGGATAAAGCAGGACATTTGGCTGCACCTCCTATGTTGGTAGCTGCAGGTATGGCATAGCCAGAGACACTGGGTCACTGCTCCTAGATAGGTATCTTCGCTGCTGCCTGAATCCTGGGTGCAGTCTAGCTAGGAAACAGAAGTATCTCTTCACTCTACTACCGTGAGGTTCATACGAGCCCCAGGAGCAAGTGTCTTTGTAGCCAGAAGACAGACAACAACAACAAAAGTCGTCTTTCAAGATGGGAAGGAGAAGAGAGCAAAGTTCACAGAGATGGGCTTGGATGGTCCACCCTTTGAAAGGTCCACAGTTGATTTTGTCTGCTTTCCCTTCATCCAGCCCCTGATAAGATAAGGTGTTATGGCTTGAATATGTCCCCAGAATTCCTGTGCCGGAGTCTCTGTTCTTAGTGTGATGGTGTGGGAGGTGGAGCCAGGTATCAGGGCATGAGCATGCCGGCTGCACTTGTGAGCCAGGGCTGCTCTTTCAGGAATGGATCAGCAGATCTCTCTGGTGCCTTGGTTCCAAATATAGCCAGCTCTTTTGCACCTGCTCTTGCCCTCTACCCATGAGATGCCTTCTACCATGCAGGATGCAGCCCTTACAGATGTCAGAAGATCTGCTGCCATTTCCTTAACTTCCCAGCCTCCAGAGTCATGAGCCAAATAAACTTTTATTCTTTATAAATTACCCTGTTTTTATTCTATATAAATTCAGTTATAGCAACAAAAAATAGACTAAGAAGAAGATACGACCTTATGAATTCAAAGAGCAGGGAAATCACATTCCTCTCAAGTTTAAACTGAAAACTACATCCACATAGGCAGTGGGCAGCCACCAGTTATGATTCAGTTTAAACAATATAAAATTTTGCATAGATATTTATATAACCCCCTTTCTCTATTGTATTTCAGGCTTTACAAACAAGGTGCCTGATAGCGAGGACCACTTATCTGTTTAAAAACAGGAACAATTCCATCCTATCAGTATTTATCAAGCTTCCTTTGAATGCCAGGCATTGCCTAGGCATTGTGACAGGTGCTCCCTGTGGCTGGCAGGAGGCCCAACAGGAGACACATGGCACCTTGAGATAAACGATAAAATACCGTCAACGCTTAAACAGGAAGCCAGGGACAAGTGGAGTGACACACTGGATCCGCAGCAGGGATCTCGCTCTAGCATCACAGTACTGCTTCCCTCACTTGCTCTTTCATCCCACTCACACAATTTAGGAATCAATTTTGATGTAGTGAAGCAAGTTCCAAAATAATGCTGGCGATTTTAGTAAATGTCATCACTGGATCTCTAACACCTAGCCCAGCTCTACGTGCCACCTCATTGCATTTTTAGAACAGCTTCTGCAGCAGCTCAGAATTCCACACCACAAAGATGACAGTGACAACCAAGGCCCAGTGACAGACATGATGTCATCCTGCATCGCCCCAAGTTGCCAGGTATCTCAGTAATCTGAAAACTTACTATTCAGCTCTCTTAGCCAATTTTTCAGTGCTCTCTAGGTGTTGGAAGACGGCAGGTGGTCTGCAGAATGCCCCATGGTGAGTCCTGAGCCAGTGCTAGCACTTGCAAGGAACGTTAGGGCAACAACTTCCTCCACAGGGGGGCATTTAGAGACCACTGGAAGGTCATCCAGGGGTCCTAGGGATGCAGGGTCTGTACTTGCAGGGCAGAGGCAGCAGGTAGAGGGTAGGCAGTAGGAGCTTTGCAGGATGGACATGCAGGGATACCCTCACAGAGGACAAAGAGAGTTACCCCTGCCCAAGGACACAGCAGCATCTTTTATAGAGAGCAAGCCTAAGACTGCATGGGGCAGCAGAGTACCTGGCTTGTCACTGGTGTTTCCTTTATGAAACACTAATAACAAACTACCTATACCATTTGTGTGGACAGATATAATTTGTATTTTTGCATGCTTTGGTTTCTAATGCTGGCTCCAAACCTATCCCAGGCAGCTTTGGACTGAGGCTCCCACACTCATCCTCTCTACTTCCTAGAGTCCAGTGCAGGTCAGTGCACTGAGAAGACCCGACCTCACTTCCCAGGTCAGCTGTGGCTTAAACCAGCTACCAGGGATAATCTCACAAAGTAATAGTTGTGCTGGCCAGTTAAGAGTCTGGGGTCCAATATCCACGGGAGCTTCCTGTCTCCTCCAGACCATTATTCCCTCATTTATTCCTCGAATAACAGTGACATATGTCTACATAAGATTAGAAATTGCCAGAGGCTGGGAAGAAAACGTGTGGTGAGTCACGAGCATTCTCATTCCTAGAGGATTCTGCTAAACACCAGTATTTCACTTGCTATTTTCCAAGGAGTGTCTTTTTAAAAGCAAAATTAAAATTCAGGATTTGCTTGAGGAACTTGGACTTGAAGCATTTTCTCCTGTCACGTCTGAGCAGGACATTATGATGGGAGTTTCTTGGTTGGGTAGGTCACTGAAAGGACACCTGGAGCTTCAGTCTGATTCCAAGGAGCTCAGGAAGCAATCTATGTCTTCCTGGGACCAGGCCCTCGGAAGTGTGGCTTTGGGATGGGGTTGCAGCAGTCACAATATCACAAGAGGTAGTGCAGCTTTTCAGCCATGGCCCATGGTGACATGTCTGGGTCTCACTTTCCTGCCTGGAGTGAGGGCGACCTACTGACATGTATTCACTTAGATTGCTTTGCTCTCATGGAACAAGACTGAGGCAATGCCTTCCAAAGGAAGTGAAGGGGGAGGAACCTTGTCTGTGTTTTTAAATCATGGTCTTAGAGACAGAATGGTTCCTCTTGCACTTTTCCTACTTTTATGAATAATGGCAATAGAATCCGTGGCCACCTTAAACAGGCTCTGTCATCTTGTTTTTGGTAATGGCTGTTTACATCATAAGAAACTGAAATCTTTATTTCACTCTTTCCATAAAGCCCACAGGAACTATAATAACAGCCATTTTTATAGACCCAAAATCATTGAATACCGATACATTCCTTATAGCACTCACATGTGGAAAAGGAAAAAATAATTCTACCTTATAAGCTTAACAAAAGACAAATTCTGCAAATATTCAAAGTTATGTGGTCTGTAAGTGATTATCCAGAACATGAACATACTCTTAATCCTGTACTTGAATCAAACTGGATTGTTTCCAAGTCCATTTTGGCTGAGTCATGTGAACAGTGAGGAGATTTGGCTAAATGTTCATAAAAAGTTAAAGAGCCAGGGTTGTCCAGCTCACATCAAAAGAATGGCTGGCTTCATGGTGTTCCAGGAATTAAGTTGTCAGAGCCTACATACATTATCCAGCAGTGAACACCAAGGATGTAGAGAAATCAGCTATGACCTGGAATAAGTCACACATTGACTTCCCATAGTGTATGGATGTGGCGGCATTAAATGAAGGCCAATATTTATCATTTCCTGAAAGGAATCAGCTGTTATTGCTACAATTTGGAGGTGAAAAAAGAAAAGAAGCAAGTAGTTTTAGTGTACAAATGTATCTTAGGCAACTGCTAGATGGGATTCGTGTCTCTTTAACCTGTGGCATTATTACCAAAGCAGGTTATATTATCCTCACTTTATAGATGAGGAAACGGAGGCTTGAGAGGCAAAATAACCATGTAGCTGATGTGGAAGGTGAGAGAGAAGCCAGGCTGAAATCCTAGCCCCTTTGACTCCTGAGTAACAGATGTGGTTCAATCCAGAGAAGCATTTCTCCTTTTCTATTTCTCTTATGTTTTTTGTTTCTTTTGAGGATGTACTTTCAACAATGCATTGGCTCATGTTCAATACCCAAGCCCAGAGAAGCCAAGCGAAGAGGGGATAGATGTACAGTGGCTTTGAGGGTACAGCCCTGTGTTGATGGGATTCCAGCTATGCACCACCTGGTCATAGCCCTGATGTACACAGGTTCCAATTAATGGCTGTGCCAAGCAAAGACCTACAATGTTTGGCCCAGATGTCCTTTGTGTTTGGGAATAAGACTCACTCTGCACAAATCTGAGAGTTTAACCTACCTTTCCGTAGGATCCTTGTCCTAAAACCTTCAACAGTTCAAACTGGGAAGGGTCTGCCTTTTCAAATCCCTCCTTTACATGATGACTGATGTCAATCTCCTTCACAATGCCTTCTTCCTATAAGAGAGCATGGACAAGTGGTAAATACATTAGGGGTCCCTCCATCCACCATGACTCCCCTCCACTGAGGTCCCTATAGGCTGAAAGCGCTGTGGACGTGCTGGAGCCTGAAGTCAGCCTGTACAGCTTTGTACCATCATCTCTAGCCAGCCACAAAAGCCATTAAGTGTCTCTTTACTCTGGGGATTTCTGTCATTTGGTCTGACCAGTGCCACAGGAAAATGGAAATGAACTCTCCAGGAAATCCATTCTGTGTCTTAATGGTTTGGGCAGGAATTTTCATAAGGATGAATACAAGAGCTACGGAACAACATGACCCCAAGAGTGACTGTGCTTTGGCTTCAGAGTGCATGGATCGACTCTCACAGTGAAGTCATTTTTGAAATGCAGATAGCCTATTCCCTTTCTCCTTCTCATTCACACTCTCCCTGATATTTTTGACAGAGATAATGTGAAAAACACTTTCTTGCCATCCTACAGATTATATTTCAGAAACAGCAGAGAAGATTTTTCTGCCAGGCTGGAAATAAGATTTCTCCATAGGAAAAGGAACCCTTCATCTTTAAGCTAAAACCTTAGCAGAAACCACTACAAATTTTCACCACAGAGGTTGTTGACCCAAACACACATATCAGAACTTGGGCATGGGGAAACTGGAAGGCAGGTGTTTTCCCCACACCAGAGCCCAGCCAATTCCCGAGTTAATCCCCATGCTTGTTGGAGAAGCTCCTCCAAGCGCCCATCTCTGGCCTTTCCAGATCTCCAATAGTGTGGCCCAGATGACGTGCAGGCAGTGAGGTGCTGGGTGGCATCAGAAGTCAGCTGCCAGGAGGTGCATACCAGGGCTCTCTGCAGTCATTCTGTTCCTTACAAAACTCTGAAGTGAAGCTTTCCTCCCCGACTGTCACACAGCTTGCTGGGCCAGAGCTGGTCCTCCAAGCCAGGACTAACTTTAAAGTCATACACCTCCTCCCACAATTTCAGTGCAAGAGCAAAGATTTCAGATGAAATACCAGTAGTGACCATGGGCATTACAATGTTTGGAAAATGCAGTTAGTTTCTTATGTCCAAGTAACTTCCTACCTGCAAAAGCAGAAGAGGAAGGAGAGGCTGTGTAGTTTCTTCTGGAATTACCATTCTGACCCTTACAGGAAATATTTCTATTTCAAGGGTTATTTGCCATGTTTGTAAAAATACTTTTCAAATTTGTAAACGCAAACAATGAGTACTGTCTCATTGTCATGACTTTTTGAATAAAGAGATTAAAAATGTTAGAAGCACAGTCACCCAACAGGTGCCAAGATAAGACTGCACGTTTGGGATGTCACCTCGGAGGACACTGAATAGAATGTAGTCTTTCTGGACCTGAAGGGTCACAGGGTGCCAGAGACTCTGTGGTGAAATCTCTCAATTTCTAACAGGGAAGAGAGGAGTCATAGAGGATGCTGGAGCTCTGTGAGGAGGATGCAGGTGACTGAATTCTCACTAGGAAAACAAAGCCAATAGCCAAGTTCAAAAAATTCCCCAAGTCCCTCTAGAACATAGGCTATCTTTCCCTTCCACTGACCTACCAATGGCCGGAAGGGATGGAAGATTATCTATCCTTTAGATAAGAAAAAGCAACCTTTCTGTCACAGAACAATGGGTTGAGACTGTCCATCCTCTGCCTACAGGACCAAGGTGGGAAGGGATGTGAGTCAGCCAGAATCCTGGCCTTCCTCCTGAAATAACCCCAGCCACACAGCTGTGGTAATGCAGCAACTGCGTCACCAGGAAGGTAACAATTCAACGAGCACACTCCAGTGATTGATATAAACACACGGGCAACCACACTGTTGAGCAGAATGTCAAATTCAATGACACCCGGAGTCTGGCTAGGGGTGGGGGAGAATGTGGCCAAGGACACGGGTGACAAGTTCAGATTCACTCTTTCCTGAAGTGGGTTTCACAGCATTTATGTTCTGAAACATTTTTAGATCATTCCTTCTCAGCAGCTCTTTTTTTATTATTATTAAGTTTATTGGTATTTTTAAGTATACAGTACAGTTACATTCATCATTGGGATCTTGTACCTTTCTTTACATGACAGGTCTTGGTTCTCATTTTTTCCCCATTCCCCTGCCCTCCCCTCACCCCCCACAACCCTCCCTATTTACAAAGATTTTATTTCCATTTTTTCCTTTTCTCATATTTTTTCTTTTCCCTTATTTCCTTTCCCCTACCCTTCCCACTTCCCCTACATCTTTAGCCATTTTCTTCCTATTTCACATTATCAATTATACAATTTGGATCTTATTTACACTTTTAGTTGTTCACACCAGAGAGACTATTTGGTATTTACACATGTGTGTCTTATTTATTTCACTTAACAGTATGGCCTCAGTGTGCATCCATTCTCCTATGAATGATTCTAGTGTCTCATTCTTTATGGGTGAGTAGTACTCCATTTTATAGAAAAACCACATCTTTATCCAGTCTCCAACTGATGGGCAAATGGGTTGTTTCCAAGTTTTAGCTATTACAAACTGTGCTGCTATAAACATGGGTGTACATATATCACTGTGGTATGATTCTTTTAATTCTTTTAGGAAGATACCCAGCAAAGGGATGGCTGGGTCAAATGGAACCTCTAATCTTAGTTCTTTGAGGAATCTCCATAATGATTTCCACAGTGGTTGGACCAGTCTCAGCAGCTCTTTTGAAAGGTCAGAGGATCATAGGCACAGTAAATGAAGTCACAGTCCCCTGGCTGCCTTTGAGGAACACACCATCTGACAGGCTTGCCTGGCAGAGCCAGTAGCATCCAGGCCAGTGCTGAGCTACAGGTCAGGAGCCTAATCACACTCAGCCCCTCAAGATTCCCACCCACTTTCCCTGTTCCTGGCAGGCCAAACACTCAAGTGGCTTCACACCAACTGAAATTTCTAAGAACATCAGCCCAGCTTCTTGCAACCTTGGCTCTCTGACCTCCATTTCAGCCATTCATCTTCTTGAGTCATGGCCTTGACATTTCAGATCAAAGGTTTAAAGATAGGTTTCTCATGGTACTTCCTCTGCATGCATATTCACATTGTTGAACAAGAAACAGTCTCAAAGCAGGTAGATAGCTTTACCTGCTACGATGGCATTTAAAACTCCAGATTTCTCCTCTGATAATAGTGCAGTACATTAACTTCTCATTTAAAATCAGTGAGGTACCTGGATGTGGCGGTGCATGCCTGCAATACTAGCACATTCAATTGCAAGTTCAAACCCGATTTGGGCAAATGACTTAGTGAGATACTGTCTCAAAAACAAAACAAAACAAAACAAAACAAAAAAACAAACAAACAAAAAATTACAAGGGCTGGGGATGTAGCTCAGAATGAAGGGCCTGGGCTCAATCCCAGTACCACAAAGAAAAAATGATCAATAAGGTCTTTAACAACAAAGGATCTCAATAGAAAAAGGGAATAATGAGGGCTATACTTTAGGTTTAAAGAGTTCTGCATTCATACTGATGAAACCAGCTTCTCTCTCTACATCTCTCAAGTTACTTTTAAAAATATCATTCATAGGTACTGTGTTGAAATCCAAACGTCTAGTGCTGTGTATGTAGCTGATTTAGAAATAGGCTTCATTTTCCTAAGGGAATGCCATTCAAACCCACATCAAGTTCTAGATAAAATGACCAGTCCCCCAAAGAGGAAAGAAAAATACAATTTCAAAATGAGACAGGAATAATATTTTATTCGAGTTGCCATCTGAGATAATAATCAGTAAATAACTCAGCACTCAGGATGCCAGAGGTAGGTAAGAGCAGCCTGCCAGGAGTTACCCCCTTGTTTACCAGGCTGCTGTTGATTCACATGGCCTGCAGTCCACATGGGTGGCCTTGAGCTCCAAACCATTTGTTTCTCTTTCATTAATCTCCCCCTCACTTCAAGCTCACCACGTATCCCATCGTCCTTGCCACTTTCTGAAACAGTTCTGGACGTCCTCTTTTGTGAGTGTCTTTTCATAGTTACCTCAATATCCTGATGTGATTAAAAATGTCTACAGCAATTTCTTTCAAATAAAGCCATTATAAGGGCCAGGGATTTAGCTCAGTGGTGCTGCTGCCTGCTCCAAATAAAGTCATTATAGTCTATCCTTATCCATCTTAATCACCAGACCTAGCACTGTGTGACTTGTAAGTTTTCCCAAAAGTGAAAATGAACATGAAAGGTAAACATTTTAAATTGATTCAGGACACAGAGGCAGCCATGACAGCACAAGTAACTAAAGACATTCACAGCAAGAAGTAGGTGGCCACAAGTCTGGCTTTGGGGAGAGTTCCGACCTTCCCATGCCTCAGCTCATCAAGATGCCGACGTGCCATAAAAGTTCAAGGATGGAACACACAATCCGCCCTTTCATGGCACAAAATGTGACATGCTCTCCTAAGAAAACCTTGGTCTAGAGATTCTCAGCCTGGAAATGATGCTCACTGGCAATCAGCTCAGGGAATTGGCTGGAAATGCAGATCCCAGGGCTGGCAACCAGGCAAGCAATCCACCACTGAGATATATCACCAGTCCTCAGACAATGCCCTTTCGCTTTGGATTCTCTGACAGGGATCCCGAGCTATGACCACTGCTACATTTATAATCTGGATTCCACCACTCACCAGGGCTGTCGCTGAGCTATCAAATCCCCTGTGTTGCCATATCCTGTGTCAGATTTAGTGGTCAGATTCAGTCCTCCTTGGCTCTGACCACCCACCCACCTAGGGTGTTTTCTTCTCCTGGATTCTAGACCCCCCTCCAACCCTCTGCTTCCTGGTGGTTCTTTCCTAATCTCCTTGTATGCTAATATCATGCTTCCTAGGGTTCAGTCCCTTTTACCTCCATGAAGTACCCTCCTTGGGGCCCCACCTTGTCTCAGGTCTTTTCCCCTCACTGTGATACCATGCTGTCACACCTCCACATCCAGCTGGGGCATTGTAGTTCCAGAGGCTGGGCATGGGGAAGAGTCCTGAGACACTTGCGTGTGCTATGAGGTGTATGTAAGGCATGTGTGTGCACATGGAACACATGCACATGTACTTGAGTTTTCCAATTTGTGCAGGATGGCCAGAGGGCAATGAGGGTGGGGTGGAGATAGCTTGAGGCATGTCACAGGGCCCCCTGGCCCAAGCTCAAACTACATAGGCAGTCACCTGTCCTCCAGGAAAAAGGGCTGCTTGTCTTCCTCCTGTGAGCTCTGGCTCTTACCAAGGTTTTGGCTTGAGTATGTCTCACTAGCACCTAGACTTACAAATGCATTTCATAGTTTTAAAAAGAACTTTCATCCAGAATTTTTGTTTTGTGCTTGAGGACTTGGCACACCAGGTGTACTGCATTGCTGGAAATTAAGTTCCAGAAAGCTTTGATAGTGGAGAGAAGACCTACTGGGTAGCTTCTTAGCCTCCTCTAGAAAGCATTAAGAAAGCAAGTAAACCCAAGAGTACAGGGATGCTCAATCCATGCTGACTTGATGACATAAGAGTCTGGGGTCTTCTTTACCAGTAAAGCTCACTGTACCAATATACATTGCAGCTCATTAGGAGCACCCTCCAGGAGTACATATTACTCCTACAATGGAAAAATAACTAGATGTTTGAACCACACTCTAAGAAACAAAAGGAGCCATATTTTAGATGGGGTGGGCATCTTGTTCAGGGAGCCAGATGTCCAAGCCACAAGCAGAGTTCAGATCTTTTGGTGCAGAATTCACACTCTAGGCCATGAGGCATCTGCTCTAGCCAGGACCTAGGGAATGTTTGAGATGAGGGCCACTGATGTCCAGGTTTTCTCTGCTTGCTAAACTCCCTTTATGTGGCTCACTAAACTTCAACATGTGTATCCTTTCACTGGCAACAGTAGCATAACTTGAAATCACAGGGCCAACTATACTTGTCCAGTCCATTTTTTAAAAACCATTTCTGCAGATGGTGTCTTCAACATCTCCAAAAGGCTTGACTCAAGCTGAGCCACTTGGTACAAACAAGAGCTAAAACAAGGCTGGCCATGGGGGTGCCTGTAGGACTCTAAGGAAAACAAAGATCTTTTATTTCAGAATAGATCTGCTGCAGAATCAGAGGAGGAAGGAAAGCAGGTAAGAGAAGGAAAGGAAGGAGAACAGGAAGGGTTGGATGAAATGTCAAGACAGTAGATAGAAGCTCTGAAATTTCAGGAGGGTGACACAGAACACTACACAGAAAGAACAGAGACATGACTGGCTGTTTGGCATCCACTTTCCAGCCCTAGTGATGCCCAATGGGATGCTGCAGAATTCTTGAGGGCCTGGAATTGTAGCCACACGACTGTGTTCTCTTCATCTAGTGGGAATGTTACCTCTTCTCTTTTCTTGCAAAAGATTAGGAGCACAGGAGTGGTACAAAATTACATACAAGCATGACAGGAAACAAGGGCTGTGCCTGTGGCCTTGGACTGAGGGCTCCCTCTTCAGAGAGAAGTCTTAGTGAAGCCACTGGCCAAGGCCTCCCTCTCACCTCAGCTAACGGCACCATCCTGGGATATCACCATAACGGCAAAAGGGCCCTGCAGAGAAGAGAACATGAAGACTGACAAAAACCACTCTTTGCTTTCTACTCAAACTTGAATCTCAGTCTTCTCTCCTCTCTGACCCGAACTGATTTTAGTTATTCGGGCAAAGTAAATCTTCCTTGTCCCATTTTCTTGGTTTCTGAATGAAAGCTCTACCCTCCTCACTGGCTCTGTCTTCCTTTGCCCCTGCTGATAGTCTGTGCTCCTCAAACTGTCTTCCTTCCATCCTTCCGTGAACCTCAGTCTGCTGGTAGTTTCACCTATACAGTGAGGCTCTGAAAGCTGGGGTTCTAGCAGATGGAGCCTCATTTATACAGAACTGCTTTTCCCTGCTAGACACCACAGAGCAGGTCCTGCACTTCCTCCAGACACCCAGAAGGGACTCAGAACTATTTCTGGGTGGGCTGATCCTTGTCAGTCCTTCAGTGTCCAGCTTACTGAAAAGGCAATGTGCTGGAACATCCCCCTGAGAAACCATCGCTATGGCACCTCGGCACTTTCCACTTTGTAGCATTAGTTGTACCTCCAAGTATGTGCTTTACAGTCATTTCTGACCTGAGGAGATGAAGAGTTATCTACTCACGTGGATTTGTTAGCATGCAGGGAACAATTTCCCAAGCACTTCAAGCTGGGTGCAGATGGGAAAGAGGAGTGCCAGAGAAGCTTCCTATGGGACAGGTAGGCCTATGTGGGACATCTGCTGCAGGGCAGGAGATGCTGCCTGAGGGGTTAAACAGATCTGCACTCTTGAGCACAGTTTTGAGAGTAACACCAAGAAGGAATCTCAGACAGAAGCACCAGGGTGCATGCCTGCTGTGTGCAGAACAGGAAATTACTTAGGCTGGTACGTCACTCTAATTAGAAAATCACACTCTTCTATTTCCCTTATTCTTGCTAAACATCTTTGTTTTGGCTTTGAGTCTGTAGTATGAATCTTCAGCAAGAGATGAGAGAAAACTGGTAATGTAGGTTTTTAAGTCACAAATGACAAACCTATATAATGATGAATTTCATGATCAGTGTAAGTAAGGAACTTACTGTCAAATTCCGGTGAGATTTACAGAGACAAGTAAATTTCTTATTCCTTACCAGATAAGACAAAAATACACTTTCTCCTAATATCATCTTCTTCACACTCATTTATCTGTATATTTCTGATGTGATATCCTTGTTCTTTTTCAAAGTCAACATCTTGGTAAATGTTTGGCAATGTGTTGACAAGTGTGATGTTTCTTACAAAACAGAGTAAGGAAATGTCAGGTGAATGAGATAAAAAGAAAAGGCACATCTGGTGAACAGCTGGTTTTCAAAGACTTTGAAGGTAGACTATTCACTCAAATGAAGTGCTCTCTGTATTTCAGGTACAGGGTACAGACAGTGGCTGTACTGACCTGGTTATTCAGATATCCATTAGAAGAACAACATTCAACTAAGCCTAAATGACATTGGTCCTTCTCTCCAGCCAGCAACGGACCCCAGGCACAACTCCCCATCTGAGCACCTCAGCAAACAACTCCGACACAGAGAAAGGTCACTGGGGTAGTACTGAGGAAAACTACTTAGGTAATAAAATTTTTTAAAATGGTCCAACAAATACACATTAGTAGTGATCAAAAGTGTCTGACATGATTGCAAAAGTCTTATCCTTGGAATAATTATGCTCACCCTCCTTCCTCTGAAAAGCAGGGACAAAGGCTCTTGCCCGGGCAGTGGTAGTGGTGCACCAGACAATCAGCTTGTGGTCTGGGTGACAGTGGTCAAATCTTAGGTGGAAAATAATGATGAGGCATCCAGACACCATTAAATGGGGACACCTGGGAAAGGATCGTAAGAGGCCACTTGGAGGAGAAGGACATAGCATGGCTCACCTCATGGGGGAAGACGGCATCATGAGCTCATGCTCCAGGGAAAACAACTGTGTTTATAAAGGATTTTATACTAATTATGATGAAGTCAGTCAGCCACACTGCAGGACCAATCTAAAAGGCCAGTGAGTCTGTGTTTTAGGAAAAGCAATGTGGATAAAAAGCACCAGTCTTCTGTGAAGATTGGGAGGCACCTTCATTCTGCACACAGGTCTTGCACTCCACCAAGAGGCATCCTGTGCTTAGCCTCTGACCCAGGCACCATGCACCTCAGCAGTTACCAAACATCTAAATACAGGGTGCTGTTGCTGCAGTGTCATTGAGAAGAGTGAGGAAATAGGACACAATAGAAATGTCCAGCAAATGGGGAAAAGTAAGAAAATTATGATGCATTCAGCAAATGAAAGCTTACGCTGTCTTTCAAATTATTCACACCAGTATAATCAAACACCTAGGTATTAGTGAATCAAACATGCATAGTATCCACATGCTTAAAATTGCAGAAAACTACTGGAAGAAACCAAAGATGTAAGTAATGAAGAGACCCTTGTGTCGATACGTTCTGTGTTAATAGATTGAAGGACTTAACAAGGTAAGGATGTTAACTCTCCACAAACTGATCTTAGACAACATAATTCCTAACAAATTTGAGTGAGACTTTTTGTGGCTATGGATAATGTTATTCTAAAACACATAAAGAAAATAAAATGATGTATAATAGGATCTAAAATGGAATAGTCACTCTGGACAAGTCTGGTCATATTCTTCTAAAAAGAGACATGTTCTCAGACACGCATCCTAGCAATGGACTCTAGGGCATTTATCCCAGAGAAATGAGAATTAGATTCACACGACAACCTTCACATAAATGTCCACAGCAGCTTCAGTTGTAACACATAAACTGGAAGAGCCCAGATGCCTCAGTGGTTGAGCAGTTAGACTGTGGCATGTAGGGCCTCAGAATACAAGGCAGCAATGGAGAGGAATGAACTACATTACAGGTGGTCACAGCTAGTTGCTCAGGTCTCTAGAGAATGGCAGTGAAAAGAGCCAGTCTCAGTGCATGCATGTTGCATTCTAGAAATGCAAAATTACAGAGAATAACAGATTAGTAGTTACCAGAGGTAAGACAGTTGTAATATGGTGTATGTCCTTAAAAGGTTAGCACACGAGAACTGCACACAAAGACACTCACACCTATATATACATGAGAATATGTAAAACTGATGAAATTTGAATGAAGCAGGTTGTTTGATTGTACTACAAGTCAAACTCCTAGTTTTATCTTATCCTAAAGAAATACAAAATATTAGGGTGGGTGAAGAGTAGACAGAGTCCCTCTCTACTAGTTTTCGTAGGTTCTTATGACTTACAATTATTTAAAATAAAAGTATTTTAAAAATAATTTTGAAGACAATATTAAAAGATTTTGCATTTGGATTTTTTTTCTCTCATTGAGTTTATTGGTGCATTTTAGGTATGCAGCACAGTTACATTCATCATCAGGATCTTGTACCTTTACATGACAGGTCATGGTTCTCATTTTTTCCCCTTGTCCCTGCCCTCCCTTCCCCCCTCTGCCCCTCCCCATTTACAAACACTTTATTTCCATTTTTTTCATTTTCTCATTTTTTCTTTTCCCTTATTACCTTTCCCCTACCCTGCCCACTTTCCCTACACCTTTAGCCCTTTTCTTCCTATTTCGAATAGTCAATGATATCATTAGGACCTTATGTACCATTGTAATTTTTCACACCAGAGAAACTATTCGGTATTTATACATGTGTGACTTATTTATTTCACTTAGGAGTATATCCTCAATATGCATCCATTTTCCTATGAATGAATCTAAAATCGTTTGATTTTTAAAGATAGTCAAATAGATTTTATGTATATTATTACTGTGACATTTTATGGGAAAATATTCATGGAAATACATCAAGATATTAAAAGGGATAGTAATGGAGAATATAAATGATTAATTCCTTTGTTTTCTAAATTTCTTTTCCTGAAACATAAAACAGATCAAGATTGCACAGTCTTCTGGATAAGAAAACCACTTGCTATATGGGCTCCCACACTGTACTCACTGCTATCATCTGCAGACGCACTGGAATATGCTGGAAAGATTTAGGCAAAATCAACTGCAAGTTTTGAAAAACAAGTAGGATCAGATAATTTGCTAGAAGGAAAAAAAAAAGATGGAAGCCAATGAAAAAGAATCTGGATAGCACTTTTGGATACAAAGAATAAAACTAATTGGTGAAAATGTATGACTCAATATTTTTAAAGCTATTAGAATTTTAATGCACAACAGGAAAGACTCCATTCGCATATTAATACAGAATTTCCAACCAGGGAACAGAAAGCAAACAGAATCCTGTGTGATATGGATAGCTACACAAACTTTCCTGCAGGGCAGAGAAGCTGCGAGTTAATGGAATTTTCCCCCCTGGGAGGGGTGACATGCGTGGATATCAGTTTACTGGCAATGACAAAAAAATTTATCTAAAATAAAATTAGAGACTATTATTGTCTGCTACAGCTAATCAGACAACTGAATTGCATGTAATAAATTTATTTCTCTTAAATAGTTTTCTAGGTATGAAGAGTAAAGGTTTTTCTTTCTTGCACAACCATTAGTAGTAACACCAGTGATATCGATGGCAGTCATTTTTGTAAGGTCTATGGGCTGGATCCATAATCTTTAGTTCTGAGGCAAGCCCAGGGGATGGGGCTTCTATTCACAAGGTGAATATGTAAATGTGAAACTCACGGCAGTGTCCACACTCTCATCTCCGCTAGTTCCCAGGTTCCTGATGAACGTAGATGGTTGCTATGATCTTTTGTTAGCAGAGCATCTATTTGCACAGGTGTGGCATGTAGCTGCCTCTGTTCTATGCACTACCTTCCTAATCTGACCATTCTTACAAATAGAAACTCGACAGAAAGCAACCAGGAACTTCAGAATTAAGTTCAATGACTTCAACAGGAATATACAAATATCTTCTCTGCATTCCCAAAATCATAAACTTTCATAAAAAAACACAGAAATCAAAACACCATTATGCAAAAGAGTTAACTAAATAACCATCTTTCTTTCTTTTTATAGTCAACTTAATTCTTTTACATTCTAAAAACCAAGAACTGTCATCTAAAGGTACACGATCCCAATGATGAATGTAACTGTACTAAATACTTAAAAAGTACCAATAAAACCAATAAAAAAGAAATAAATAAATAAAAGACTATGAAACACTGTAGTAAAAAAACCCCCAAACACTAGACATGGGGGCCCCATCCGCTCGCTTCATGTTATGTCACCCAGCACTCTGGCTGCAGAAGTGGCACAGTTGGCAGTTTGGCACAAAAGAATAACTCAGATGGGGACAACACATACATCAGTGTTGAAATCAACACATACATCAGTTTTTTGCCAACATGAGCCATAAATTACAGAACACCAAACAGTTGTGAACAAAGGCAAATTCCAAGCAAAGTGACAAAGCGAATTCCTCTACACAGCATGGTGTTCCTTTGTAAAATACAACTTACTCCTAAGATCAGCCTTTCCATGGTTATTCACAAACACCAAGCATAGATGATCTAAGGAGCTATTGTATGGGCTACAAAGACTCTGGATGATTAAATATTTGCAACAGAGCTGAGCACAATGGCACATGCTTGTAATCCCAGTGGTCAGGAGACTAAGGCACAAGGATCACTAAGCATTTGAGGCTAGCCTAAGCTTCATAGTAAGTTCAAGGCCAGCCTGGACTACATAGCAAGACTCTGTTTTAAGATACAACAAAACAAAACCTTTATAACAGATGGATCCCATCTCTTCAAGCTTCTTCCTACCCAGTGACATGTGAGACAGTTAGAAAGAAGGCCCCCTGGCCTGGCCAGCCCTTCCAGGAGAACCGAGATGGTGTAGATGTAGCAACTCCCTATTTATAGAGTGCCCCTTAGGACAGGACACACTGGTACTGATGCCTGTTTTCTACTCTGTTGTGTCCTCTTCTACTGGGCAAAGTGCCTAGTGGACAGTTTTTCCTCAATGAGTGTGCAGGAATCAAAGAAAGCATCATAGAACAGTGTCAGATAAGCATCCTCATCACTAATTTCTGAAATCCTCTGTGTAATGACCTCACCATCATGATGAGACAGCACCTACTTGTGGGGTAAGATGTGGACTAGAGAACTTCCTATACCACTTAAACCATTACACACAATTCTTAAATTCAAATAAATCATATTAAAAGTATTAAGAATCTCTCCTAGCTTGAGGTCTGGCAGAAGCCATGTGTGTTGTACAACATCAAGATCATGTGTCTGGCCCAGGTGAGACTCTAGTGATGGTGGGGAAAATCTCAAAATGTGATGAGTATCTGCGTGTGGGAAGACAAAAACTTACCTATACTAAAGAGTGGCTTGGAAACTTTGTTAGGAAACCTACCAGTTGAGGATACTATTCTGACTGCTAAGTGAAAGTTCTATCTTTTCCTATATCCAGAGAAGACCAGAGCTGATTCTGATGGCTCAGAGTGATGGGTCAACACTACCCACAATCCCTATGAGTGCAGTTGTTACCCTGGCAACAGCCACAGAAGCTCAGGCTGCTCTTTCTATGGGCTCTGCGGTAACATTGTGACCTGGTCTACCAGGTTCCATTAACAGGGTAAAATCTAATGTCTCATTGTCTTTAGCACGTGAACACATGCCAGCATCATACTGCTAAATTAAAGATTCTCACATAGGTTAAACTCAGATATCAGAGGTAAATGGCCACTTACTTATGCTTATTCCACTTTCTGTTTTTGGGTTAAATCTCTTAATACATGACAATGCTTAGGAAAAAAACAAGATTTGTTTAGAATGAATGGTCCTCACGGGGGGGGGGGGGGT